AACTAGCGTGGTACTGGAACCTGAATACATTTTGAGTTTCCAAACTTTATTCCAGGTCTTTACTCACTATAGGTAGTAATTCCTGTGTGATCAATCTTTTCATGTCTGTGTACGCGTATCCTTACCATAAATATCCTATTATTTTAGGTAAACTGCATGAATGCTTGTCCCAACTGCTTCTCTACTGCCTCTTATTTGTTGTAGTAGATCACTAGAGGAGTACTTACTAAGAACACTAATTAATTAAGTGAATGTACACTCATAATCAATAAAACTATGCCAATGTTCTAGAGTCATATTCTGTCATGCACGCAAAAATGGTATTAAGTGTTGTTGTACAGAATTGGATATAGGTTGGAGTCACAGAGGTGAATTCATCAGATGCAACTGAGATGGAAAAAAGGTGCGAATATGAAGAATGATGTACAAAAAAAATTTTTTAAGTAATAAATAAATGGAAATTCCAAGCCTAGAAGCCCATTTCTTAGCATAAGAATGGGAAAACTCAAAAAAAAAGAACCAGAATCTGAGTGGATAACAGGTGGATTTATTGAAATGCACAGCTAAAAGCAGCAGCAGGCATGACAGGAGGGGTCTGCTGCATAGAGTGAGGGCCCCAAGGTTATATGCACACTGCAGACACCATTGACTGGTTAGGGCGAATAGTTGTGGGTGTGTTCTGACTGATGATCTGAATTCACATAGAGGATCATCAGCTCTTAGGATCATAAACTTGATATCCAGGTTCCCACAGCAGTTCCATCTATTCCCTTTATCCATTCAAGCCTCCCAAACTTGCCTGCTGGGCAAGGAATGACAGCTTGGGTTTTAAATTTAGCAATGATACCATGACATTAAGTTTTGATGAGTAGATCTAAAGTATTTTCAGGTAGGGATGGGCCTAATAATTCCCTAAAGTCACAAAACTCTAAAGCAGTTACTATGCTTCAGTTACTATTGTAGGGGTTTGGTCGCTGGCGTTCTCAGGTCCCTCAAAAAATGAATTAATCAGAGATGCCCTTTCAATAGCACGTGGTAATTTCATTAAGAGAAAAAGAAAGCTAGATGCCTGCATAGACACAGACAGGCAGTCTTAGGGCAAGATCTATGTTTTGCCAGAGCAAGAACCCAGTTCTTAGGGCAGAGGGGAGATTCACTCCCATCTGTATTTTATCACTTTGGGGTTAGGTTGGGTTGATTTTCTGTAAAGACAGATAGTCTTTTGAACCTAACTCTAATTCCTGGTAACTTCCACAGCTAGTTTAATCATCCCACCTCCACCTGTTTTTTGTTTGTGTTGTTTTTTATTTTATGAGATTTATTTATTTATGTATACAAGAACTGGGGTACAGGCCAGAGGTGTGGGAGGTAAGAGCATTCAGCAGAGACAGAGTGGGGACACAATAGGTAGATCAATGAAGCATACTGCTGAGGGGAGCAGCAGGAAAGACAGGAGAGATCTGCCACGCCATGTGAGTCACCTGTGGGCCTGGAAACAAAATCATGCTGAAGCTGCTGTGGCTAGCTTTTAAGTGCTGCATTTTAACCTGTCCTGCCACCAGGAAGAGCCCATAATGCTTATCTTTTTAAAGATTTATTTATTTGTGCATACAGAACTGGGGTACAGGCCAGAGGTGCAGGGGGGTTGAGAGGATTCACCAGAGACAGAGTAGGGAGCAGAACAGGCAGATCCACAAAGTGCATTGCTGAGGGGAGCAGCAGGCAGGTCAGGACAGTTCTGTCAAGCCATGTGGGGCAGCTCCCTGGCAGCTGCAGGAGCTTCACAGTGCTATGCTTTACATTTTAACCCATTGCACCACCAGGGAGGGCCCCATAATGCTTTTCTAATCTAAAAATTGATTAGGTAGTAACACACAGACACGCATTTTCTAAAATTATTGAGTGTAGGGATGGATGAATAGTAGAAACTGAGAATCAGCTTAGCAGTCCTGGGAAGAACATATGAGCCATACCCCTGCTTCACATCATTTGTCATATAAAATCAATTAGAAAGGAAATCCAACAGTTAATGGGGTGGGGGGGACAGGGAAGGGCACAAAAAGACCAAGCAGAAAGAGAATTCAAGTGTATGATTCAAAATGATGATTTTTAAATGGGTAATCCCCAGTGAAAGGGAGATTCCAGATTTCCGGCCCTACCCTAAGGAAGGAAGGAAGGCTGGGGCTGAAGGAAGATCAAGACCAGGCCTTGGTCTGGAAGGAAAAGAGTAAAATCAAAACCCAAGTCAAGGTAAAAGACTGTCATCAACTGCTCCACGGGTCTCTCACCCAGGCCTGTCTCTTCCAAGTGTCTCCCCTGTGTCCCCCAAATCCATGGTGTAAGTCCAAGGCCAAGAAGCAAGCACAGCTGCTTCTTCACAGGTGTCTCTGCTCCACGTGCCTCTTTCAGGACTTCTTTTATTTTTTCAGGGTCAGGCCAGTTTGTTGAGGGCTCCAAGAGAGGGCAGGAGGTATGGGGGACTGAGATCCCAGGTCTGGAACTGGTGGGGAGATCCTCAGCCACAGGAGGCCTTCAGGTCTTCTTCATCTCCTTCCCTCTGCCTTCCTTACCTTCCCCTCCCAGCTCAGCTCCACCCTTCCTTAAGGTGGGGCAGGGAACCGGGAACCTCCCCTTTCCCTGGGGATTACTTTGTTATCAAGGTAAACTGTTTACATATGATACCTCTTTTTCCTGGTCTTTTAAATAGCCAGTTTACTTTTCAGTTTTCTCATTTTTAAAAAGCTCCCTTTAGAAATACTGAGTAACTAGAAAAAGGACCAGAACAAAAATTTTCAATAATTTTGCCCCTGCTACATTCATGATTGGCCCCTTGGGTCTACTGAACAGCATCTAACTTTTTCCTGTATAACAATATAGTACAGATGATACCAGGTTTGAATGCTAAAAGTAGACTTACTAAAAATAAGGCTCTGTAGGAACTAAACAAACAGTTAACATGAAATCCAAACATCTAGTTTATAAAATGTGTATTGCTTTCTTTACCATCCCAGCTCCCAGTCTTTCAGTGGCGGGCACCCCGTAGTACCCAATCATTCAGGTTGCTACATAGCTACAAAAGCTATATTTCTTAAAGTACAGAATCCAGAATCTGTACCCTGAGTCCCATCCTTCTGGCCTCAAAAATATAAATCACATACCAGGCAGTAACTACAACATTCACCCAAGAGATAATACAAACAATATGAGAACTTGATCACAAGCCACACAAAATGCTATAATCAGCAGCCCTCTGGCAGGGAAACAGTTCTCAAGGACGGTGTGATTACAAGAAAATAATATATAGTTTAAAAAAAAAAAAGCACTGGACTAGGAGCTAAGGATTTTGTCTCATTGTGTGACCCTTATGCAATTTATTTTATCTTTACAAGCTTACTTATATCATAGGTAAATAGTGTATCTCTAACTATCTTAAAAGACTAGAGCAAGAAAACAGATAAATAGGTACATTGGAAAAGGGAAAAACACTTATAAAAACAAAAACCAATGAATTACTTTCATTTCAAAGGTTCAGTAATCTCTGTTTACTCTTTTCCTCCAACTCTGGCCAGCTCAATCTTCTTACCAGTTCCTAAATGCAACTTCAATTTGCAGACTTGAGAGTTTGAAATAAAGGCTCTGTAAGATCTTGTATGATTTCTATTCATCCCATGAACTTGAGTATTTACTATGTATTATATCTTGAAAACATCAAAATGAGTAAAATTCTACAAAAATGGATAAAATCCAAGTCAATAATGACGGATGTAGTAGTAAAAGTTTATGTAAAGTTACAGGGGAGGGCAACTTGGATAGTCCCTCTGTTCCATTTTACTATCAACTCGTAACACACTACACCAAGGTCTATAATGCTGAAATGTATCGGCCAGAGACTGTTAGCATGCAGAGGAATACTACTGTGGTTATCTAAAGACCTACAATCTAGAGTGGCAGGTAATACTGATGAGTTAAAACCGGCCTTGCCAAGTCTACAATGGTGTTCAAATTCTGTTGTTAACTTATTGTAACACTAACAAGACTTCATTTAACCACTCTAAGACTTCGTTTCTTCTCAAGTAGAGCAAGGATAAAGCACCTATTTAAAGTTATTGTGTGATTTAAATGAGATACTCTACGTAAAAGAACAGTTCCTAGACATAAATGCTTGATGGTCACAATTTTTGTTGATTAGGGCAAGATTTCTACCAAAGTTACCTGGTAAAATGCAGTTTTACTTTATCCCTGAGGGGAGAGCTTCCTCTTTTGCCTTCTGGTCAGTACTAGGCACCGTTGCCATCCCAAAATCTCCCAGCCCCTGAGGAGGAAGGCAGTAAAAACCCCAATGCCCAATTACAGGTTTATGGCTAACTTTATACACCGAAGGGCCAACTTCAACCATTAAGTTACTCTGCTAAGGCTCATTTTGATTACCACGGCCAATAAGCAGTGTTGCTGATCCTAGTACACGGTGTGGGAGGAAGAATGCACCGCACTTCAAATTTAAGTTAAACGTGATTTCTTCACGATTGTTTGGGCGGTAAAAAAAAAAAAAAAAATCCTTAAAATATACTTTGAAAATCAAGTTTTAACGCCAAGACCGCTATCATGTTGGACTGAGATAAAAAATACTTCCCCAAGGTCAGTGCCCCAAAGGAGCAATCTCGAGGTGTCCAGTCTTTCTCCCACCTCGGTCCCCGCCCCCACTCCGTTTGGCTTCAGCTCTCGGACCTAGGGCGAGGTGCGGGGCGGGCAGAGCGGGGAGGCGGGGCTGAAACGGAACTTCATTGTTCGCGGGACCGACTTCCCGGAGGAGCCCGTCGGCGGCGCTTGCGCAGTGCGCGCTCTTTGTGCCGGGCTGCAGCGGGCTGCTTGTTTGTGTGTCTCACCGAGCTGGTGGGGGCGGTGCCGACGGGCATGGCTTGGCAAGTCGCGTTCCGATTGGGCCTTCGCGTGGAGGTGGGCGGTCACGGGGCGGAGCTTCCGATAACAACACTCGGAGCTGGGGCTGAGGCTATTTGTTGCTGCGCCGCCGCCGCCCGAGCCATGGTCCGCGCTTCTCTCGGGCTCTCTTAGCAGCAGCCGCCACCCTCCGCTCTCTGGCTTTCCTTCCTCCTCCTGATCCTACTGAGCTACTTACCTCGCGCGATGACCGTCGTCTCTGTCCCGCAGCGGGAGCCGCTCGTGCTGGGCGGCCGCCTGGCACCCCTAACCTTCTCCGCCCGCGGTTACTTCGGGGCCCTCCCGATGGTGACCGCGGCCCCGCCGCCGGTACCCCGGATTCCGGAGGCCCGGGCACTTCCCCCCACTCTCTTCTTCCCCCACTTCCTGGGGGGAGACGGCCCCTGCCTGGCCCCTCAGACTCGCGCTCCAGCACCGCTGCCCAGCTGCAGCCTCCCCACGGCGGGGGGCACCCCTCGGGCGGCGCCAAAAAAGCGGCGCAAGAAGAAGGTCCGGGCCAGCCCGGCGGGGCAGTTGCCCAGCCGCTTCCACCAGTACCAGCAGCACCGGCCGAGCCTGGAGGACGCGCGCAGCCCCGGGACGGGCCGGGTCGGGCCGCAGGAGGTCTCGGGCCAGGCCGCCGCCCCGGGACCCGCGGCCGCAGCGCGAAGTGAGGAAGCGGGCCCTTTCCCTGGCCCGCTGCCGCCCGCGGCGCCCGGCCAGCCCTCGCACCGGAGAGAGGTGAGCACCGCGGTGGGGACGGGGACGGCCGGGTGTTCCGGCCCTCCGCCGGCTCGGCCCGGACCCCTGCCCCGGGGGGCAGCTGCGGGGCCGGGGTAAGGGGCGGCTGTTTACTCGGGAGGGAAGTTTCCGTGACGCCCGCTCTGCTCTTCCTGGGGCGGGGGGGTGGGGTGGGGGGGGAAGGGGCGACTGCGCTGGCGCCGCAGATTGGCTCCCGGGGGCGGCCAATCCGGGGAGCTGCTGCCCCAGCAACAGCCGGATTTAGAAGGCGGGCGGCGTTCCAGGGGGTTTCGGCGTCGGGCCCGCGCCGGGGGCGGGAGGGGCCCGCGGGAGGTGACGTCAGCGCGCTGAGTGCGGAGCCCTCGGGCGCTGGTGGAGGCGGCGCGGCCGGGTGGGGGGTGGCCGGGCGGTGTAGGGGCGGCTTTCGGAGTCGGGACCCTGCGAGCCCCACCCCTCGGGGCGCGACTAAGAGGGCTGAGAGCGGTTCCGTTCCGGTCGGCTTTCTGCCGGGTGTGAGGGTCCTGGTGCGGGGCGCCGACCCACTGGGGCTCGGCTCCTCGGGGCCGACCTACTTAGCCGCAGTTTTGAGCTTATGAAGTTGGTAGGAGCCGCTGCAGAGTCTTGCCGTTCGTCAGTTCCACATGCCGGGTGTGCTGAACGGAACTCTGGTGGAAGGTCGTTTGTCACTTCTGTCCAGAATAAAATTGGAAGTTTCAATCGAATTGAAATCTTGCTTCCCGACTGCCGTGCTGTTGAGCTAGGATGAGATTGGCTTAAAATATAAAGGGATTAAGTCGCCAAACTTGTAATTAGTTATCCGTTCTTCAAAATGAAGCATTTTGTTGACCTTACTACCATTTGCTGAAAGATTACTGAATTAGATTTGCAGGTTTCTGCACCCTTGGAACAATTCAACTTGCTTGTTGTGTTTCCTTACATTCTCTTAACAGAGCTTCAGATTTTAAAGTTCTACGAGGCTCTTCAGAAGTATTCTTGATAATCTAAAAGCAAGGTGTTCTTTCCTCCTTGCCTATAATTAGATTGTTTTCTTGAACGGTTTTAAAACCAGGAAGCTGTTAGCAGTTACCCTTAACTGACATGGAACATGTTACCTGGTACCCCAGCTTTGTCTTTCTTTTCTATATTCCTCCTCCACATGTGTTGGAAGCGCAGTGATGTCTAGTGGGTTATCTTACACTTGAGGTTATTGCTGCTGCTAAGGCTCACTTGACTTAGAAGTTACTCGAATTTGCCACAGAGCTGTTGAGGCAGTGGTTAAACCAGAAAGTAGTGTGTAAACAGGAAATTTTTAATAACGTTTTTCTTACAAGTATGTATAACAGGAAAAGATAAAAATGCAAAATATTTTTAGTGTTTAATTTCATAATTCTGAATAATTTTTCAGGAGATTAATATCGTTTTTCTGTTTTACCAAAACAGTCACTCAAAATCTAACTCGTTAGTCAATTTTTTTTTTAATTCTAAAAACTAATTACCTAAGTAGGTAAGAGCTACTGTTGGCTGTTAACAGTTTTTATTTTTGACCACGCTTTAAACCAACCACAATGAAAGCATTGAAAATTTCTACTGGTGACATCCTATTGTAAAAACTCACCTTTGCAAGAAAGAGATCGGCTTACATGTTTTCAAGATAGTAGTAGCAGTTATTTCCTTTTTACTTGTTTAGATTTGCTTAATATCACTCAGTGGGGGTTAAATTTATTTTTAGTGGTAAGCAAGGTTGTGGGTATTTTGACATTCAGTGATATATATGCAACATAATATTTGGTCAAGATGGTAAACTGAGTCTCTGGGAACTTAGTGAGAAGTAGATATCTGATATGAAGTACATGGCTATATTCATTTTTGTTTTTATCATGACTAATTTCATTTTTGTTTTTGTCTTGTAGGTTTTAAAATCAAAGATGGGAAAATCAGAGAAAATTGCCATTCCCCACAGCCAGCTTATTCATGGTATACACTTGTGTGAACAACCAAAGATAAACAGACAGAAAAACAAATACAACTTACCACTAACCAAGATCACCTCTACAAAAAGAAATGAAAACAACTTTTGGCAAGATTCTGTGCCATTTGATATAATTCAGAAGCAGGAAAAAAAGCCTTTTAAAAATACTGAGAATGTTAAAAATCCGTATTTGAAGAAGTCTGCATTTGTAACTGAAGTGAGCCAAAAGGAAAATTACGCTGGAGCAAAGTTTAGTGATCCACCTTCTCCTAGTGTTCTTCCAAAGCCGCCTAGTCACTGGATGGGAAGCACTGTTGAAAATTCCAACCAAAATAGGGAATTGATGGCAGTACACTTAAAAACTCTTCTGAAAGTTCAAACTTAGATTTCAGTACGTATGTTTTTCAAAATCCCTGGACTCTTGAGAAGAAAATTGATACAGAAATGGGAATTTGCCTTGTAAATATACAAGTGCAAAAGATGAGCTTACAAAATTACAGCCTGTATTATATTTTATATTTTGTAAATACTGTATACCATGTATTATGTGTATATTGTTCATACTTGAGAGGTACATTATAGTTTTGTTATGAAAGTATGTATTTTGCCCTGCCTTCAAATGGTAGGTGTTTTGTATATACAATGGAGAAATTTAAGTGTGCTTAAGGCACATGGAAGACCAATTTATTTGCACAAGGTACTGAGATTTTTTTTCTCTCAAGAAACAGCTATTGAACCTCAAGGTGAAGATCTAAATGTGAACAGTTTACTGATGCACTACTGAAATTTAAGTCTGTGGCACAATCATTGTAAACATGGGATTTATGTGTGTTTCTCTAAATTGATTTCTGCCTTCAAATCTGATTACTGGAAAATTCCTATTCCCATTTTTACCAAACTTAATTTCTGATTTTTTGTTTCTGTCCATTGAACTTTAAAATGCTTCTCTTCCAACAAAATTGGTTGTAATCAAATTTTAAAATAATAATAATTTGGCCCCCCCATTTCAAACTAGTCTTGACTTTGTGTGTGTGACTGTTTCTAATGTTTGAAGTTCAGGAGTGAGTGGGTAGCTGCAAGAGTCTATACTTTACTAGGTTAAATGTTACTTTAATACTATACTAAATGTTCACCCTCCCTTTGAAGATAGGGCCTTTTTTTTTAACATCCTGTAAGGAAGGGAATTACCCATTTTATACCCATTTTAAAATGGAAGTGGTGATTAAAAAGTAACATTGATAAGTTCATAACTTATCTTTACATATTATTTGATAATAACCCATTTGACTTGACATGCCATTCATTCTTAGTGAAAGGAATGATATTTGGTTTAAGCTAAATTGTATCAAATCTTGAACTGGTACTTGAACCAATGCAAGCATACTTGATAAAACAAGGTGGGAGTTTTATTTTGAAGCTTGCTTTGAAGTGATAGCTAATGAGCTTTTAAAATTCAACCTGTTTTATTCGGTGATATACTTAATACTGTATGTGAGAGTGCATGTGTGTAGAAATTGCAAAAAATTATTGCCAATTCTCTTTACATAGCTTTATAAGAGACAAAACTCTCAATAAGAATGTTTAGTATTTGGGGCAAAATCTAGGTGAAAAGTAAAGGGTATTATTAGAAGGTGCATAATGTCATTCCATAAGGTGGATATGTAGCTAAGGAAGGTAGTATTAGCATCCTGAAGAAAAGTTCAGGAGTGAGTGTCAATTTGGTTCACACAAGGTGAAGGAATACCCAACTTTCAGATTATACAAAGGTGGTGGTGGTTAGGCTATGCACAACTTAGAATCACTTGAGCAGAAATAGAGGGGAGGATATGTCCTAGCTGCCATGAAATCTGACAGTTTGTAACAGATGTGATGTCTTGTGTATCTGCTCATAACCCAGCCAGCCATTCTTTGGCACTGTTCATAAACAGTGCATTATTATTCATTGGCATATAGCTGGAAGTTCTAAGTAGTTGTGTTAAATAGTAAATGAGCCATAGTTTAGATGCTTTGGGCTGCTAAAACAGTATTGGGTGGCTTATAAGTGAAAATATATGTAAGTGGAAATTCATTTCACATAGTTGTGTTCACTGTGAAGAAGACTTCAGATTTGCATTTCCTTAGGGGGTTATAGGGAGTAGGGGCAATTAATAGCTGTCCTCACTTGGAAGGAACAGAGAGCCTAGTAAGGGTGCTAATCCCATTCCAAAGAATTCTGCCCTCATCTAATCATTTCTCAAAGGCTTCACCTGCTAATACAGTCAATTTGCTCGTCAGTTTAACCTGAGTTCATATTTGCACAGACCAATTTGGTCACATTTATTTTCTGCCATTGGAAGGAATCCATTGAATCATTTCCTTCAACGTACCGGTAATCATAGTTGATTGACTTTTTGGATATATAATAAATGTACTTAAAGTTAACAGTATAAGGCTTTAGTTTTTAAGTAATGGCTTGGTGAAGAGGACTGTTAACTGCAAAGGGATGAAACGGTTTATACATGTAGAATGTGCATGGAAAAAATTGTAGTAGCACTTAACCAACTGTAGGATGAATAGCTAGTTACATGTACTGAAGTTGTTTTAGAGAAATCCTACAATTTGATACTAGGTGCAAAATATTAGTGTCCTTGTAAGCAAACGAAAAAGGTGAAAGATTAAGTCACAACACTAAAAGCCATTCTTCTGCAACTTAACGGTTGTTAGTTTTAAAAAGGTAAGGGTGGGTCATTAAAAGAATGAAATATATTAGTCAACTCTACATTTTATCAGGACCAACATTCAAATGTTTAGGAAGAGTACTATACAGTCACTCCCAGATTAAAGCTTGCTTGCTATAACATGTACTTGCATCCAGGATTGTTTGGGGGGTGAGGGTGGGGGCGGCTCAACAAATTGTATTACAGTTAACCTGGTCTGGTTTCAAAACAAAAAAACGGTACCTGGTTTTTGCCTTAACCTGCCATCTAAAAAGTGTCAACTTTCAGGGTTGACACGGAACAAAACTTAGACCCTAAACTAACACCGTTTTTCTGCCCTTGAGCAACAGACCCCAGAAACAACCTGGGAAGGAAGGTACAGTGGTGCCCACCAGATTGTGAGGAGCTGTGGCTATGGTGCATGGATGAGACACCATTTCTCAGCTCCCAGTATCTTCAAAGTATTCAGACATCTGGGAGAAAGTTGGGGCTGGCCTCTCTCAAGCCACCCACCTCTGACCAATTACTGTTTCTTCCAAAAGAGGATTTAATGATTTTAGGTTCTGAAAATGGAGTTGGGGGTACTGGTTTACATAAAGCAGGTCAAGAGAATTTATAATTTGTATTTCCCATTACTCATTTCTGTACGATGTTTGCTTTCTCCTCTCAGTGTAGTCTCCATAGAATTCCCACCACCAATTCATTCATGCACTATCACCACAGTCCCTTGTGCTCTTCCCTCCTGTTTTGATCCCTTGTCCTCCCTTTCCCCTGCAGAATGTCTCTGATTTATAGTTAACCTGTTAGTTTTGTTTTCTCCTGATCCCTTATTTAGTTTCCCTATAATCCTATAATTGTTACTGATGCCATTTTTGAAGAGATGAATTTGGAGTGTGGGGTCTGTGGGTTTGCTCTAGGAAAGGTTTTACCAGAACTCACCTTTTATATTTAAAAGAGCGAGTTTATTAGGAAAAGGGACAGAAGAGTAAACGACAATTGTTTAGACTCGAGTGGGCAGGAAGAGCTGTTCTGAAAAAGACAAGTTTGCTGTGAGAGAGGCCTGCATGGTTATAGGCATTGGCCTTGAGAGTTACCTCTGCAGAGGGGGGTCAGTGAGAAGCCTAGACATGGGTCAGGTCACAGGCAGGCAGGAGGCTGCTGCCCTGTGGAGGGAGAGTTGGTGGAAAGGAGCACCTGCATAGTCAGGTGTGCAGAGGACTACTGCCTTTGTGTGTGTGGGTGGGGGGGGGGGTGCCGTTTACTAGGTTTTGTCTTTTCAGTAGGGAGCACCTCAGTGTTGTTTCTCAGTCCCCGTATCTTCACCTTTAGGTCCATGCTCTTGACACTCTACAGCAGTCTAATAGTAATCTAGTCTAATGTCTATGTTAAGCCCTTCTACCCTCATCTCATTGAGGTATGAGACAGGTTCTTGACCTTGTAGCATCCTTTCCAGTTTTTCTATTCCATCAGAACCACCCAATGTATTTTTTATTTTCCTTCTGGCTTATTTCGCAGAGCATACTTCCAGCTCCATCCATATTGCTGTGAACAACATGAGTTTATCTTTTTTGATTGCTGAATAGTATTCCATTGTTACATATACCACTTCTTTCACGAGAATTTTGAGTTCTACGAAATGGCTCATACACAAGTTTGACATCCGAATCCTACATGTGATTATACAAATTCCAATGAATACAGTCTTTTGGCTAATAAAACTACCTGGCCTTCCCTCATCTCCTTTGTATATTGCAGTTATTTTGTGTCATTTTTGAGCAGTATGCTTGAAAAGTATAAACCTGTGTAGCTGAAAGTTAATGGTGTATGTGGAGGGGAGAAACCAAATGTAATTAAAATACAACTTGTATTCTCTCTCACAACTAATGGCTGAGGAGGTCAAAAGTCTTTCCTAGAAAGTAGTGACCAACTGGTGAGCAACTCTCTAGTTGGAATTCTGACCACTTCTAGGTATTCTTAATTGGATCTTAAAATACTCAGTAGTATTCGGCCCTCTTTGGTGGCGCAGCAAGTTAAAGCATATCACTTTGTTCAGTGGCTGAACAAAGCCACTGCAGCATGAATTCGATCCTCAGCCCTGGAGGTGACCCACATGTAGTGGCAGACCTCTCCTTACCCACCTGCTGCTCCCCTCAGCAGTGTACTTCATCGAACAGTCTGTTCTGCTCCCTCCTCAGTCTCTGGTGAATCCTCTCACCACTCCTGCACCACTGGCCTGTACCCCAGTTCTATGGCATAAATAAATCTTAAAAAAAAAAAAAATTCAATAGTATTTAACATGCAAAGAAAGGAAAAGTAATTGTCAGAAGTAAATCTACATACAACAGTGTGAAAAAATGAGGCATACCCAGCAGATCAAGGTAAATGCAAGGAAGAAAATACATTTGAAAAGTATAGTGGGATAAGAATATGAAGGACTTGGAATGTGCTGAAGTTTCAAGTTCATTCTTTAAGCATAACAAGGATATATTTGAGAAGGGTATGAAATTTCTTGCTTCAAAATTGATGATAAAAATGCAGAAAACAATAACAAAAATGCAGCCTAGAAAAGGTGTGCTTGAAAGGGAAAAACCATTTGAGGAAAACATTCCAATAAAAGAAAAGCTTAAAAGACATTAGCAAAGTGAATACAGAAATATGGATTAATTTGGGAGATATTTTGGAGGTAGAATTAATATCTGAGCAATTAAATAGAGGGTAAAAGTTTTAAAGTTGAGCAATTAGGGAGATAAATCAGAAAATGCTGGTGGAGATAGAATTTTAGAGGAAGGTAATTTTGATTTGCACATTGAATTTTGAGAAATAACTACAGGGAAACAGCAAGTAAAAGATAAGCCCTGAAATACTTGTTAATAGTGCATCGATACTCTTAATTAAGAAATTGAAAATGAAACTAAAATATTTGCCTAACAAATCCTCTCCTTTTTCTCACATAACTGATTTAACTCCTTTACAGTACTCCTGGCTTCTATGGTTGAGGGAATTGAACAAATCCATTTATATACTTGGGTATGGAAGGGTCATGATCCCATTATCTTCCTATATATATTTAAATTTTGAATAACATTATTGAACTAAAATCAAGCAAGCCTTAATCTTGCTGAATACCTTAATTCTATGATCCTATTTTTTCGTTGTTTTATTCATCCCTATAGCTTCTGAATTCATGTATTTTTAAAAACTTCACAGAACTTTATTTTAATGATTAATTTATGCATACAGAACCAGGGTTCAGGCCAGGGGTGCATGGGTGGAGAGAGGTTTCACCAGAGACAGTAGGGAGCAGCACAGGT